CCCTCTCAGAATATTGTTTTATTTTTCCTGCCTTTCTGTGGGTTATTTGAACCTTTTTTAGAATTTGATTTATAGGTTTTTTTTGTTTTGTTTTTTTGAGTGTATAACTTTGTATACCTTTTTAGATAGTCGCTGTGGGTCACTCTCCAGTAACTTCAGATAGTTGTTTATGTTTATTTTGACCAGAGTTTATAGATGTAATCTGCAAGAGGTTGATTCAAAAGCAGTTTATTTGGTCTTACAGAAAACAGCTCAGTATTATTTTAAATTAGTACATCATATAGTGTAGTGTACTGTAAACAAATTTAAAAATAGTGTCAGTAGCAGATCCCACATAGAATCTCTAGGAGAGGGACTTCCCTGGCGGTCCAGTGGTTAAGACAGTGTGCTTCCACTGCACGGGGCATGGGTTTGATCCCTGGTCAGGGAACTAATATCCTGCATGCTACTCGGCATGGCCAAAATAAAAAGAACCTCTAGGAGATTAAATATCTGGTATGTTCTAGGGTACCAGGAATAGGAAGAAAGTATTTTGAAAAAAACTTTTATTCTGATTTCTAATGGTTTCTTTATTTTATTTTTTAATTAATTAATTTATTTTTGGCTGCGTTGGGTCTTCGTTGCTGTGCGCAGGCTTTCTCTAGTTGTGGTGAGTGGGGGCTACTCTTCGTTGCGGTGCGAGGGCTTCTCACTGAGGTGGCTTCTCTTGTTGTGCAGCACGGGCTCTAGGAGCATGGGCTCAGTAGTTGTGGCTCGCGGGCTCTAGAGCACAGGCTCAGTAGTTGTGGCACACGGGCTTAGTTGCTCCACGGCATGTGGGCTCTTCCCAGACCAGGGCTCAAACTCGTGTCCCCTGCATTGGCAGGCAGATTCTTGACCACTGCATCACCAGGGAAGTCCCTGTTCTATATTTTTTTTGTTTTTTGTTTTTGTTTTTGTTTTTGCGGTACACGGGCCTCTCACTGTTGTGGCCTCTCCCGTTGTGGAGCACAGGCTCCGGACGCGCAGGCTCAGCAGCCATGGCTCACAGGCCCAGCCGCTCCGCGGCATGTGGGATCTTCCCGGACCGGGGCACGAACGTGTGTCCCCTGCATCGGCAGGCGGACTCTCCACCACTGCGCCACCAGGGAAGCCCTGTTCTATATTTTTGATATGTATTTCCATTTACTTAAGCTGTCAGTCCTCTGATTTTACCACCTCTCTTCCATGGATGCATACAGTCTTTTGCTTTTATTTCTTCACTTTGAAGATTTGGGTGAAAATTTGGTTATTCACAGAACTGCTGGCATGCCTAGGCAGACACCTATTCTCTTCCTTTCAGTGTTTATCCTGTTTGTTTTGCAGTGCTTTTCTCTTTCAGACGTCTGAAGCGTGGAGTATCATTTGAAGCTAATTATCTAAAAACACATAATTTCCCAGTGTTAATAATTTTGTTAATCTATGATATTTGATAAATGATAAAGCTCCTCGGTAATAGTTAAGGCTGTTTTGCTATAACCTTTAATGTTTTTGCAGTTGGAGGCATCGTTACAGTAAAGTTTTTCTTCTTCCCCATAGAACATTCCTGATGTGGATGAAGAAGGCTATAGTATAAAACCAGAAGCAAATCAGAATGATATCCTTTCATCATCTGGATGGTCTTATGGATTGTGTTGGCATATATAAGTAGACAGTTAAAACAAAATAATCTATTATTTAATAAAGACTCTTCAAATTTTTAATTAATTGTAATAAAATGTGCCTCTGTGATCTTTATTTGACATGCTGTGAATAAAAGTTAGCAGTTATATTTCTGATAAAGTCCATCTCATCTCAGAGTTTTTTTGTTCCTTTTTATAAATGTGTGAAAAACTGGTTGTGCATTAAGATAATTTAAAAACTCAATTCTTTAACTGATACTCACATACCAAAGAGAACCATTTCTACTCATCTAGTGATTCTGATTCTGAAGATGAAGAACCAAAGAAGTATCGGATAGAAATCAAACCTATGCATCCGAATAACTCACATCACACAATGGCTTCCTTGGATGAATTAAAAGTATCTATAGGAAATATAACGCTCTCCCCAGCAATATCTGTAAGTAAGAAAATAAGCAAGTTTGCCCTCATTATACAGAAGCCTTTGGGGTTTTGTTTTTTGGTTTTTTTGAGCTCATCTACCTGCATCTGATTAGTTTTAGGACTAACGAAAATTAAAACATCACATAGTAAATAGTTAAGCATGTTGGATGAGGAAATATTTATAATTTTTTCAGCTTTATTGAGGTATACAGTTTATAATTTTTATACAGGCAGATGAATTTTTGAGTTTGGTTTAGTTTTGCTTCCTTTTGAATGTGTTTTAAACAAAAATGTGGAAAATGCACTATTTCTGCCATTTGATGTATTTTATAAATAGTGCTGTATGTCTCAGGCAGAGTTTTGTGAACGACAGTATTAACCTTTTCCTCATCTAATGTTAAAGTTTTTCATCCATTATTTTTGGTGAACTTCATGTAAAAGGAATTCCATAAAAATCAATTTCAAGTGAAATTAAATTATATCTTTGCTTTTTTTTTTCTGTCACTGTAATTAATGGTTGTTTTTCCATACTTTTCATACAGGAAAAGGCAAATAAGAATTCTTAGTGGTAGTGGTTAATTCCTCAATTCTGAGATACTAAACTTGATAGCTTTTGAGGGAGAAAAAAATCACCGTTGTCTTTCTATCAATGTCATACTCTTAAATTTAGAAATGTTAAATTATGGGAAAAAAGCATGTCTTAGAATGTCAGTTTAGTTTATCTGCACATACTTATTGTAGCTGATGGAGAATAAAAGTTCTCACCATTTTGTATTTTATTTAATTACATATTTTAAGTAGACTTTATGTATTTGTTTAGAAAAAGTGTTTTTCTCCCAGTCATACACTTCTAGAATTTAATTTGAGAACTTTTTTCCACCAAATTTCTGAAGTGAGGTTTTATTCTACCATTACTATTTAACATTAATGCCAAGATTAAATTATGGTTTATATTTGAAGTAGGAAGTTGTGAAGCCATTAAACATTTTTTATTGTGTAAAGAGCATAACTAATTTAAAATATATATGTAAATAAATAAAAGCCTAGAGGATATATATATATCAAAATGTTAAGCATCTGTCTTTGGGTAGTAAGATAATTGATGCTTTGTGCTCTTTTGTATTTTTTTTAAAAAAGTAAACGTGTTAACTTCATACCCTGAAAATAATAATCAGAAAATTTTTAATTGTTAGTATTTGAAAAGAGAGGTCTTGAGAGTATATTTTGTTGCCCAGTTTGCTTATCTAGCTTAAGTTGTTTTTCCCTCCAACAGTGTATGTGTTTTAAGGTATATAGATTTTATCAATAGACATGATTAAGAAGAGAATAGACAGATTATTAGAGCAAGGAAATATATTTTAAATTCTAAAGCAAATACTATGTTTTTCTTTTTCCTTTTTTTTAAACACTATGTTTTTCTTTTTCCTTCCATGTACTACTAGAGACACAGCCCAGTAAGTGTAAGATTTTATATTTTTACCTATTGACTTAAAAAGAAATTGTATATTTGAACATTGATTTTCAAAATATTTGTGTTTTTAAATTAGCAAGTCATAGTATGTTGCTGTAGATACTGGTATTTTAAAGCATTTTATTGAATGATTTAAAGGTACACGTATTATTTTTTGACTACAAAAAAGTTTCTTCTGTAATCTTTATATGTAAATATGGTTTATAATTGAGCAGGTATATTAAAAACAACTTAAAATTATGTTTCCAGTATTAACATTTTATCAAATATTTTATTACTGCATTAAATTATTTGTTTAATGATACTTAGTTTTTGCATTTCTATTTTAGGTGCAGATGAATCGGAATTCATCTAGTAAGTTTGACATTTAAATTAGTTACTTAAGTCTATTAAAATTTATCAGGGAATTTGCTAAGCTTGTAGCCTAACATGTAGTTGTAGAAATGGTCTTTTTTCATCATGAGCCATAACGACAGACTAGAAGGGTACTTGTTTTGCAACAGAAGACAACTTATCTATACTATTTCTTTTAGTTTTGAGATATGCTTTAAACTTGAATACGTGGCTACAACGTTTTTCAGAAATCAACAAAGCCAAAGAGCAGCTTCTGATTAAGCACGTAAAACTGTTTAACTAGCATAACTCATCCTCATGAGCCAGAAGGAACTTTTTAAAAAAAATATTTATTTACTTATTTGGCTGCGCCACGTCTTAGTTGCGGCATGCAGGGTCTTCATTGTGTTGTGCGGGATCTTTAGTTGTGGCATACAAACCCTTAGTTGTGGCATGTGGGATATAGTTCCCTGACCAGGGATTGAACCCGGGCCCCCCGCATTGGGAGCACAGAGTCTTAGCCACTGGACCACCAGGCAAGTCCCCAGAAAGATGAGTTTTAGCTTGATCTATTTTTAAGTCATATCACAATTGCAACTTCTAATATAAGATTTTTAGTACAGTAACTCAAATTATACTAAAAATGTTTTGGGGGTGTTAACACCATTTGCAGAATCATGTATTAAACATAACAAGAGTTGTGGGGAAAATAGAGTTGAGGCAGCCCACACAAAAGCTATGCAATTTTGTGAACACAGTGCTTAATAAAAGCCATGACATCAATTGTAATGAAAAATTCTAGCACAATTAAAAAGACCTATTAAATTCATAATAAATACCAAACTAAAAGTAGGCTTTTACTTTTAAAACATAAAATGGTAAGTAGCTTGATGATAAGGGGATGTGAGGAAAATGAGTATAAAAGGGGGCTACTGAGTTATCAAGATGAGGGCAAAATGCAAAAAGATGACAAACACCGCAGTAAGCACCATGAGGCAAAACAAACAGCTGAAATGAGCCAAATGGGAGAATGTGATATGAATGGGCATTATGTACACTGTTGTATTCCTCATAGTTTTCTGTAATTACCCATGTTGATGTATTTTGCATTCATCAGCTATTGCTTGGTGATGCACAACATTAAGGTGCAATGAAAATTGCTTACTAACCAGCAGGACTTCTGTATTACTGATGCTGTTCCTCCATGTACCAATTGCTTATGAAATGATTTATGTTATAAATTCAGAAGGTAGCAAAATAGACTACCTTATAAAGAGACTGTTGTTGTTATAAAAATCTTATTTTTCAAAATAGGGTGTCCTTCAAGAATTAATAACTACTTTTGGTCAATAAAATAATCAATAATATCATCAGAACTTGAAAAATGCTTTCATGATTCATCAGTTAAAATTCTTGAGTTATTACATACATTATTTAAATACATAAGTATTTAAACATTTGTTCTGATTTTTAAAGTTGTAGCCCGTTTTTTTTTATGAACAGCAGTTTAATGAATAGTTGACTATTCATTAGTTTAGTTGACTTAAGTTGTTTCTTATCAAAGATATTAGAAGAAATGAATATTTAACAGAAATTCAGCTTTTTTTTTTTTTTTTTTTATTTTTTTTTTTGCGGTACGCGGGCCTTCACTGGTGTGGCCTCTCCCGTTGCGGAGCACAGGCTCCAGAAGCGCAGGCTCAGCGGCCATGGCTCACGGGCCCAGCCGCTCCGCGGCATGTGGGATCTTCCCAGACCGGGGCACGAACGCGTGCCCCCTGCATCGGCAGGATGACTCTCAACCACTGTGCCACCAGGGAAGCCCTATTTTTATATTTTTAAGCATGGTAGAAAACTTGTTAAAGGCTTATTTTCCTTTTCTTCATAATTGTTTATATATGTTATTAATGCCAGAATTTAAAAATTGATGTATGTGTAGTAGTTTTCTTTACATTAAAATATTTTATTACTCAGATTATTAATTTTTTCATAATATTTCAACTTTTTAACTAGGTGAAGAGTTAACAAAATCAAAGCCATCTGCTGCATCCAATGAGTAAGTTCCATGTTAAAATTTTTTTTTAAATAGACTTTATTTTTTAGAGAAATTTAAGTTCACAGCAAAACTGAGTGTAAGGTATGGAGATTTTTACATGTACGTTTAGCCTCTACATATGCCAAACCTTCCCCACTATCAGAATCCCCCACCAGAGTAGCACATTTGCTACACTGACACATCATTGTCACCCAAAGTCCATGGTTTACATTAGGATTAACTCTTGGTGTTGTATATCCTATGAGTTTTGGCAAACGGATATTGATATATGTCCACCATTATAGTATCGTACAGAATAATTTCACTGCCCTAAAAATCCTGTGTCCTCCACCTATTTATTATTCCCTCCCCACATTTAAATTTTAAGTATCCTTCATTTTATTATCTCTGTAGTTTTAATTCCAGTAGACTGTTTTTAATCATCCTGTTTCCTAAGCTGTGAAACGTCATATAGAGTTTTTAGAAGTTTTAAATTATTTTCTCATTTGACAGTATTTCTTTCTATGATAATTTGTAAAAAATCCATTCAGCTGTATTTGGCCTTGGTGTCCTCACTGCTTCTAAATAAATGATAGTATCCCAAATTCATACATGTCTATATTTCTACTAGTTATTCACATGGAAATTCTCTCATTGTTTTCCTCCAGTTTTGTCTGTGACCTTGTAAAATAGACTGTGTACTTTATGAACCTCAAAATGAAGAAGTGTCTCAATTAAGTTGAAAAAGGAGAGGTCTAGAAGACATGTTGCCAGTTTTTCTTAAAAAGAGAAAAATATTTTAAGCCAGTGTTGCATGGGTCCTTGTTCACTTCTGTATTTATCAACAAGAATATTTTAATGAATTTTGTATGAGTAAAAGTAGGCTTAACTAAATGAATAGTTTAAAATGGAAACTTTCAAAGCTAAGCACTAATTGAGCAGAGTGGAGGTAGACCCACGGGCCCAGCCACTCCGTGGCACATGGCATCTTCCCGGACCGGGGCACGAACCCATGTCCCCTGCATCAGCAGGCGGACTCTCAACCACTGCGCCACCAGGGAAGGCTCAAGACTTTGTTTTTAGGAATCATTTATACAGTTGTGATTCTATACTTTATCATAAGTGTGCCTCCATGTGGGTGCATGTTGAGATACTAGATATGTGCTTATAGGTAACTGTAATATTTTCATTATAGTGGGCCTGTTTTCTAGGATTTCTAAAATATATTTTACATAATGGTAGTTTGATACATTAGATTATTTTTAAATGGGGATTTTCTTTTTTTATACCATACCTATATACAATTTTTATTTGTCAAACATACCTCAATAAAGTTGGGGCAGTTAACTTGAAAAAAATACGGGGTGGCAAAGGTCAGGTGCTCAAGGTCCTGGAGATTAAGCATCCTAAAAGGGTATATGACTAAGATGAAAAAGAGAAACATTTATGTTTGTATTAGAGAGCCAAGAGTTGAATCCTGAGAGTAACTAGTTTGAAGGATTCCAAGAGGTCAGTGGAAGAAAATCTTTGGTTATGCAGCACATTGAATTTTTTGAAACGAGAATGTTCATGCTCTTGATTTTGTACATAGTCTTGGTAACCTCTCATAAAGAGACACGTATGACCCATACATTTTGCTAGACCACCTTAGCAGCCCAGGTAGTGGATTACCTAGGGAGAATTCCTCCTATGCGTGATCTACTGCTGTGATCAGATCTTTGAAGTTTGTATAGAGTCGTTTATATACATGGAGCTTAAGCCACCACCCTGTACGTAAAAAGTACTTTGAAAAAAACCCTTTACCCTTTTTCTTCATCTTTGATAATAAGTATGGCCTTATAAAAATTCTGTCTAATTTCATATCACTTCAGAAATTATCTGTCCAAGACTGGGCTCCAGATGTGAATTAGCACATCTGATAATGCCACAGAATTAATTAGCTGTGTGTCCTTAGGCAGCTCATATAGACTCTCCATGCTGCTTTTCATTTGTAAAACTGAAATTATTTCTATTCTGACAGCCCCTACTTTTATTAGAATATAACAAGATTTAATCAGTGGGGATTAATCTACTCTCCTTTGCGAACTTAATGTTATTGTGGGTTCTGCTTATAGCAGTTAACAGATATCAGTTTATTAAACCTGCTAATTAAGTTCTTCACATATTCAATCATATGTGAAGCACAATGTCCAACTCTTTAATCATATATATTGAGCTTTCTAAGAAATAAAGATAGGTTACTATATTTTATACTAATAAAATACTCATTTGCTAAAATCCTTATTTTTAAAAATGTTATGGTAGGAAAGGGACCAGTGATTTACTTGCTTGGGACCCCCTGTTTGGACCATCTCTTGATTCATCTTCTTCAACTTCACTGACTTCATCCTCATCATCAGGTAAACATATATATATATATATATATATATATATGTAAACATATATATATATCTATATATATATATACATTTTTTTTTTTTTTTTGTAACTGTAAAGGAATGCAGTAGTTACTTTTTTCTAATTGATTTATGCATTACTTGTATGTTGTACTTAATCAAAAATTTAACTTGTCCTCTGATCATATTGCCATATAAAAGTGATTTTATACTGACTTTGTTAACGTACCTTAAAGACCATATGGCTTTAGCAGTAAAAATTCATCAAACACCAACTTTTTTTCCCTTAATATATTTATTTCTAGGCATCGTTCCTATATCAATGCCCAAATAATAATTTTTATTATTCAACTTCATAGATGTGCGTTAATACAACCAGTCCATTCTTGATGGACATTCAGGTTGCATCTAGTTTTTAGTATTATGGACATCCGTAGATACAGCAGATTTTGTGCACATCTCATATCCTTATAATAATTTATTAATACAAGATTTATGAGTCACAAGATATGCCCATTGTTACTTTTTGCCAAACTGCTTTCCAGAAAGGCTCTAGCACTTCCCAACATGAAATAACTTTATGAATGTGTTTTAGTTGTTCTTTTGGCAAGAATATATTAAATTTTTCTTTTCTTCAAAATATGAAATCCCACTAGTCAACCATCAAAGCATGTTTAATAAAACTGCTTGTTCAAAAAAGGAAAATAAAATCACTTTAAGTTGGTCTTCAGCCTTCTTGGGGATTTCCGAAATGCCGTGCAGTACTTGGGGTTAAGGGAATGCTGGAATGTTGGGGAGAGAACTTGAATTGAGTTCTTACTGTGTCTTTGCTGGGATCTATGCACGTTCTGTTTGATTTCATCTCATTAACTGCTGCATGAAGTCCTTTTTATTGTCCCTGTTTTATAAATGGAAAGAGTAAAGCTGAGAGAGATCAGGAACTTCTCTAACACCACATAACTAGGAAATGAAGCATGGATTCAAACCTGGATTTTAGTAATTCCAAAATCTTTGTTCAATTCATCATACTCTGGCAGATTAACAAAACAATAAGCCATGTTGAAACATTTTACTGTTAATAATAAAATAAACACTAGTATTTAAAATTGGACCGTTTAGAAACTAATGTTTTAAAAAGAAATTATAAATGGATTTTAGGCAACCTTAACCTGAAACAATTGGGAGTTTTGAACAGCAAGAAGCAGTCATTAGGTAATTGCACATATTCTGAAGTGGAATTATAGCCTTTCTCAATTGGCATTTGTTTACTATTTAGTTTTAGGAAACTAATCTTACTAATAGATTTTATAAGTAAAATAATTGTATAGGAAAAACAAGTTGTATTAAGGTCTCTTTTTTTGTTTAGTAAAAATGTCAGAATACTGTTCTGTTTTTAGAATGGAGAAGGTCCTAATTTTAATTTTGATAATATTCTTTTATGAATTGGTTTTATTAATCTTTAATAAAAATTTTCACTTTGTTATCACAGAGGTTTTAGTTATATAGAAATTACTTCATAACTCCACCCTTTGTTTCTGTTTTCTTTAGCACAATCTCCTTTTCAAACAAGTGATCTCTTTTCCTCTTGCTACCTATCTAAAAAATGTTTTGCCCATATCACTTTCAACTTCAGGTAAAAAAATGATAGTTTCATTTAGTTGTCATTTGATGCTTAATAGGTAGGGAATGATAAAACTTGCTTTTTTGTTTGCTTATTTTAAAATTTATTTTGGTATGCCTTTTAAAAACTTCCTTTTAAGTCTAAAAATGTCAGATTATTTTGCCCTTCAAAGAATGTTAGTGATGTTGAAAAGAGACATTCTGCTGTGTGGTAATTATTATTAAGTCTTCACTTGGACAGAATATAATTATTGATAAAACTGATGAATACATTATGATGATTCTCCTGTTTTGTAAGACTGGCCCTAAGTGAAATTGTGAAATAGGCATTTTGTCTTAAATTTTCTTCCACTGCTTTTTACAGTACATGTCTCCCTTAACATCGTCTACACTGGTACCATTTTCACATTTTAGAAATGGCCAGGTTGTCAGATTATTCCCTGCTCTCCTTTGTCCCTTTCAGAATCTTAATTCATTAATCACTCCATCTCAGCTAAACCAGTCTAAGAAAATAATTCCTATCAGTTAGTAACTAATATGTTAAACCTTTCAGTGTTGTTATATGTTTAAGAAGCATGCTTAAAGTTTGGTACAGAAGTAATTTCAGATGCTTCTTCAAATAAACATATATGTACAATTTCATATACATAAATTATATGTGATAAAGTATATGTATATAAAATTTAATATAAATAGCTCATATCTTCCTTCCATTTGATAAGTGCTAGTATAGACCTTTTCTTCTCTACCCATGGGTTAATTGAGCACTTGTGCTCTGTAAAACCCCTGTAAAATTATCTTTTGAAAAATATTAGGCTGGTCTTTTTATATTAACTCCAACACTGATTTGGTCTATCTTACTTCCTATGACAGTTTTAAGTTTTATCACTAGTCAGGCACTTTGTTGAGGAGCACATGTACCCAGCAGCATCACTTTGACACCCTGTCAAACCTCTTTAGACTTTTACTGACTGTTAGCATTACCTTTTGCTCCTCTGAAAATCAGGAATAATTCTGGCCTTATATATTTTTGGACCTTAAATTTTACTCATACATATTTTAAGTTTCTTATTCTCATAATTATTTTCCTCAGTTAATATAAAGTTTGAGCTCAGGCTCTTGTTCCATGTATTATTAAATTTTTCTAGTTTTGAGTAAGTAAAATAATGTTAACCTGAAATAAGAACTATTTGGCTCTGCAGATTTATATTTTAGTTTTAGAATTTTCCTGTTGCTTCTAGTTTTCAGTTTCTTTATTCTTCTTCCGCTGACCTTAGTGAACAGAATAGGAACTCTGCTTTTCTCTCCCAAACTTATTTGTCTGGGGGTGTGAAAATTGGTTCTTTACTTGAAACCAAGTCAGATTTTGGGTCTAGAAAACCCATTACCAGACTTTTCCACCAACCCTCTCTGCTATTCTGCTGTAACGACACCACCAGCAAGCACAATAAGTTTCCTTTTGCTTCATGGTTGCAGAGTCAGTGGATTTCCTTTACTGATGAACTTGTTAAAATTACTGACTCCAGTGGAGCTCAGAAGGCATTCCAGAGATTGCTTTGTGTAAAGCTGAAAATACCTTTGGGTTCCCTAGTGCTTTGGATGAGAGATTTTTCCAACAGCTGCATCTCTGAGGATCAGCGTGACCTTTGCCATAATATTAAATGTTTCGAAAAGCTACTGACAGAAGAAGCTAGCAATGCTGCTGGTTTTTCTTCTGCATTGCTTCTGTATCCTAGATTAGTCTGTGCCTTTATTCAGATGAAGGGTGGTATGGGAAACATGCTTTATCTGTTCCCCTTAGGTAGTGTCAGAGAGCAGATGTAGGTTAGCTCTTTTTTTTTTTTTTTTTTTTTTTTT